CAGTAGTGGCGCCGAATAACACAGATTTTACAAATAATAATAATTTATACACATAATAATTTTTAAAAATTGTTAATTGATTATACTGGCTTCATTCGACGTTGTCGAGAGTTCATAAATTCGCGTATGACACTGTCGAGATCTAATTTTTGGGATCGATCACACTCAGTGCTCAACACAGCTAAGTTGGTTAATTGTGTTTGACTTATCGTGCTTCCCAAAGATGATTTAATTAATTTTAATTTAGAAAAAGATCTTTCTGCCGATAAAGAAGTCACTGGAAGTGTTAAAAATAGAAGTAACGCAGCGCAAATATCTGGTAAACTACTCGTTAAAAAATTATTGTCCATAAACAGAAACTTAGCAATATCTGTAATTTTAGTTATTTTTTGCTGAATAATTTCACCAACAACAATGTTTTTAAAACTAACGATTTGCCCACAGATTGCACTAGTAATATCTTCTTCGTATTTATTTGCCAACTTTGATGCTGCCTCCACAAATTCTTCGTCTGTACTATTCAACATTTCCTGTGGTTCCAGAAAAGAAAAATAGTTTCTGACGTTTTTCATGCTTTCAAACCTATCTTTAATTTGAATGTTTATAATATCAAGAGCAGGATAGAAAACGAGAAATTTAATTATTTATAATTATATCTAATGGCAATTAGAAAATCAAATCTCGATGACCATCTGGTGGGGCATAACTTTTTTAATGTTTTTTATAACACACTTATCATTTTCTTTCATCTCAAATTTAAGTTGTTGCCATTCATTTTTTTTATATCATTTTCCCGATTTTTTAATTTTCATTTTCTGGATTTTATATCACAATTTTTCGTTTATTCAATTTTTCACATTTTCAATTCCTCGATTTTCCAATTTTTAATATTTAGATTTTACAATAATTTTCGTGTTTTCGACCGCAATTTTTCGATCTTTAAGTTTCTCAATTTTTAATCTTTCGATTTTTGAATTTTCCGTTTCTTCAATTTCTCAAGTTTTTAGATTTCTCGAAGCGTTCCTTTTATACTTTTGCGTTTTTTCATTTTGAGTTTTCAATTTTACAATTTTTCTATTTTATAACTTTTCCATTTTGTTTATAAGGAAAGTAGAAACTTCGAAAAATTGAAAAATCGGAAAATTAAAAAATTGGAAAAAATTGAAAAAACAAAAAATTGCAAAATCGATAAAACGGAAAATCGAATGGAATTTGTTTTTACGATTTTTTAACTTCGATTTTTCGATTTTTGGAATTTTCTGTTTCTCATATCTAGGTTTATCGATTTTTCAGTTTATTTTTTTTTAAGTAAATATTTCAATTTTGAATTTTCCGATTTCGGCTTATTTCGATTTCACGATCTTTTGAAGTCTCAAGTATTCGATTTCGATTTATTGGTTTTTCGATTTTCAAAATTTTAGATTTTTCTAGTATATATTTTAAATTTTCCATTTTTCGCTTTTATAATCTTTATGTTTCGATTTCCCGATTTTTATTTTTTAATGTGTTTCAATGTTTCCATTTTTGGAATTTTCGATTTCTCATATCTCAATTTTCCAATTTAAAAATTTTTTCGATTTCTCGATTTTTATTTTTTTGGTTATCTCAATTTTTCAATATCGCAATTTTAGGAATTTTTCAATTTCTATATTTTTCAGATTTTGCATATTTTCATTTTCCCGATTTTGTAATTTTCATTTTCTTGATTTTATATCACAATTTTTCATTTTTCCATTACCTTTATTTTTTCAATGTTTCTTTGGATTTTATAATTTTTTGTTTATTCAATTTTTCACATTTTCAATTCCTCGATTTTCCAATTTTTAATATTTAGATTTTACAATAATTTTCGTGTTTTCGACCGCAATTTTTCAATCTTTAAGTTTCTCAATTTTTAATCTTTCGATTTTTGAATTTTCCGTTTCTTCAATTTCTCAAGTTTTTAGATTTCTCGAAGCGTTCCTTTTATACTTTTGCGTTTTTTCATTTTGAGTTTTCAATTTTACAATTTTTCTATTTTATAACTTTTCCATTTTGTTTATACGGAAAGTAGAAACTTCGAAAAATTGAAAAATCGGAAAATTAAAAAATTGGAAAAAATTGAAAAAACAAAAAATTGCAAAATCGATAAAACGGAAAATCGAATGGAATTTGTTTTTACGATTTTTTAACTTCGATTTTTTAGATTTTTTAATCTGTATATCGATTTTTCGATTTTTGGAATTTTCTGTTTCTCATATCTAGGTTTATCGATTTTTCCGTTTATTTTTTTTTAAGTAAATATTTCAATTTTGAATTTTCCGATTTCGGCTTATTTCGATTTCACGATCTTTTGAAGTCTCAAGTTTTCGATTTCGATTTCTTGGTTTTTCGATTTTCAAAATTTTAGATTTTTCTAGTATATATTTTAAATTTTCCATTTTTCGCTTTTATAATCTTTATGTTTCGATTTCCCGATTCTTATTTTTTAATGTGTTTCAATTTTTCCATTTTTGGAATTTTCGATTTCTCATCTCAATTTTCCAATTTAAAAAATTTTTCGATTTCTCGATTTTTTAATTTTTGGTTATCTCAATTTTTCAATATCGCAATTTTAGGAATTTTTCAATTTCTACATTTTTCAGATTTTGCATATTTTCATTTTCTCGATTTTGTAATTTTCATTTTCTTGATTTTATATCACAATTTTTCATTTTTCCATTACCTTTATTTTTTCAATGTTTCTTTGGATTTTATAATTTTTTGTTTATTCAATTTTTTACATTTTCAATCTTTGATTTTTTAAGTTTTTGATTTCCAATTTTTTTATTATCCCAAGCTTGCATTTTGTACTTTTTCAGTTTTACAATTTTTCTAATTTATAATTTTTCGATTTTGTTTATTCGAAAAGTTAAAAACTCGAAAAAGTGAAAAATTGAAACAATGAAAAACTAAAAACCGAGAAACTTAAAAATCTAAAAAAAATTAATGAATCGAAGAATGGGAAAGAAGAAAAATCATTCGAATTGAAAAATTGAAAAATCCAAAAATTGTAAAATCGAAAACTTATAGAATCTTGAAAACTGTAAAGTCCAAAAACTGTGACATTCAAACATCGAAAAATTGAAAAATTCCAAAAACGAAAAACTGAAAAAGTGAACAACTTTAAAAATTGTAACTATTAGAAGTGTTACATAATTAAAATGAAAACTAGGAAAACTGCAAATGAAAAATTAAAGAAACGGAAAATTGAAAGCCGAAAATTGAAAAAATAAAGAAAATTAAAAACCTACACGAAAAATTGCAAATCGAAAAGTTGACGAAATTAAAAACTGAAAACTCGTGAAATTTGCAAATTCTAAAATTTGAAACATCTAAAAGTTGGAAAATCAAAAACTGAAAAATCGAGAAATCGAAAATTTTCAAAACTGAAAAGTCGAAATTTGGAAAATCGAAAAACCGAGGAATTCAAACTGAAAAAAGATCGAGAATTCAAGATGTCGAAAAATCTAAATATCTAAAATTTAAAAAAATAGAAAAATTACAATAACAAAAAATTTAACATTAAAAAAAAACACAGAATTAAAAAGTCGAAAAATCGAGAAATCGAGAAATGGAAAAATGAAAATTTAGAAAAAACAAAGATTGAAAAGCATAAAAAAATTTAAAATCGGGAAATCGGAACGTAAAAAAAAAATAAAATCGAAAAATGAAAAATTTTAAATTTAAAAATTCGAAAACTTGAAAAACCGAAAAACTGAAGAAATGAAAAACTAAAAAATCGACAAATTGAAAAATCTCAAAACTGAAAAGTCGAAAAATTGAAAAACCCAAAAATCGATTTCCGGTGTATTATATAATCAAAATTTTAAAAGTTGAAAAATGAAAATATCAAAAAACTGAAAAATATAAGACATTCTCAAAATTGAAATGTTGAAAAATTGAGAAATCGAAAACTTGAAAAATCCAGAAATCGAAAAAAAGAACGAAAAGTAAAAACATTTTAAAATCGAAAAAACGAAAAATTGAGATGTAAGAAATCGAAAATTCCAAAATCGAAAAATTGGAATACACATTAAAAAGGTTAAAATCGGGAGATCGAAGCATAACAAAACATAAAATCGAAAAATGGAGGATTTTAAAAATCTAAAAACTTGAAGAAATAAAAAATTGAAAAATGGAAAAGTCGAGATATCGAAATTAAAAAATTGAGACATCAAAAGATCCGAGAAATGGAGAAATCGAAATAGCCCGAAATCGAAAAACCGGAAAATTTAAAACTAAAATACATATTTAAACTTAAAAAAAAACGATAAATGAAAATATTCAAAATTCAAAAAATCAGAAATTTTAAAAATCGAAACGTCGAGAAATCGAAATATCAAAAAAGTGAAAAATTTTAAATTACAAAATTGGAGATATTGAAAAATCCCAAAATTGGAACAACGGAAAGTTCAAAAATCGATAAATTGGAAAGAGGAAAAATCGAAAAATCAAAGAATTGATTAATAGAGAAATTGAGTAGTGTAAAAATGAAAATTTAAAAAAGGCAAAAATTGAAAAATTGTAACACTGAAAAATCGAAAAATTAAGTAAACTAAAAATCGAAAAATCAAGAAATCGACAAATTGTAATTCAATTTTGTTTTATGTTTCCACAAAAATTTCGATGTCGAAGATAAAAATTCAACACGGATTCATGAACCATAGGTACACTGTTACTTTTTTTTAATTTATATAGCATTTATTTGACAAAACTGTAGAACTGAAGAAACGAAAAATAGAAACATTGAAAAACTAAAAATCGAGAAAAAACTAATGAATCAAAGAACGAATTAAATCGAAAAATGTAAAGTCCAAAAACTAACATTCAAAGATCGAAAAATTAAAAAAATCCAAAAACGAAAAATTGAAAAAGTGAACAACTATAATTAAAATTATAATTATTATTACATATCTAAAATGAAAACTAGAAAACCTGCAAATCAAAAATTGAAGTTGCGTTTCGTACTTAATACATACCCCATCAGACAAATTAATGTGGCAGCAATGTATGCGATGTTCCCTGGTCTCGTATATGTCGTAGTGTCTATTTCTGCATGGCAGTGAGGACAAATCATATGCGTTGGATCAGGACCAACCGGCACCACGGTTGTCAGGATCGGAGGTCCTTTCATAACTGCAAACAAATATAAATTACTAGAACCGATAAAAACCAATGTTGTTATTAACTATAAAACAAACAAACGCACAAAGTCACAAATATTTGGACGAAAAATATTTAAACTAGTATTTTTTCGTAGCTTCGAGAACAATTAGACGCAATCACAATTCCGGCAAGTCGTAACTTTGTAGAAAAAGTTCAAGAGCAATTTAAAGATAGCGATTGAAAACAAACATCGCAAGTACGAAACTAATAAAAATTTTGCAAGTATTTGCGGGATAATAAACCTTGAATCAGTGTTTATGATCATAACTGCACGACGTGTTATTATTATGATCATTTGGGAGCCAAATATTATGAAACTATGTTGTAGAAAAAAGTTCGGTGAGAATTTTTTAAACAGGGGTATAAAAACGACGGCAAGTCCCAAAACGGACTGCTCGAGGCTGTAAATTATTAAATTAATAATTGACAATAGTCGTAAATCTCGAATTAGCATATTATAACACTCAGCTTGTGTAAAAAAAAAAAAATTTTGCTGGTCCGGCTACAATTTCAGACTCGTGGCAAGGACGTTCTTGGTCCGAGGAAAATTTATACAAATTTATTTCGGAGTTTTTTAAGGTACGTAAAAACGAACAAAAGTTCTGAGATGGTTCCAAAGGGTTTATCATCGCTATTAAAAGTTATTTGTGTTCCAATGAACTCATTTAAGTTGAAGATTCTCGTGAATTGGAGCAGATAAATACAATGATCTATTATGGTAATTGATTTATTTCTTCCACCGCCAATTATCTGCAATACTGCGTACCTACATTAAATTTTCGTCAAATAATACTTTTCCAACTAGCTATTACCTAGTCTAAACACACGAATTAAATTCTCAGTGTGTTATTAACGTTCTTTTGAACTTTCGGTCATGAAATGAATTAAAATTATCGTAATTGTGAAGCGGTTTCAAACCGAGTTTTATCCTAGTTTTCGAAGTCGGAGTGTAACGCACAATCCTGAGTTTTCGATGACACACCTACATAATGCTTTGATTCAGTTTAATTCTTACGCAGTTTACACAAACCTATTTTTAAATGGTTCTTGATGTTTTGCCAAAACGTACTCCCTGTTCTAATAAAAACTGATTCATCGGGGAAAAAACAATGGGCGATTAGCGATTTGAGTCCAATAACTGGAACTAGATAATAGCTCCATCTGGCGATTGGCCTAATTTTTTAGTTATTGCAACACGGTTTATGTAATTATAATTACGTGGTAACAAATACGGAAATCTGGTTACCACGTACCGATTCTGTGAAAATGCCGCGCTAGATCTTTGAGAATTTTCTATTTATGTTTGTATCGATCTAATGGAAATATTCTTGATGTAAATTAGCTTGAAATCTGCATGTGGTCACGACACGTGTTATAGACGTCATCTGAAACTGTGAGTGTGCGAAAATTTGGGATGCGAGTATTGTTTTTAAATTTCTGCAATTCACATGTGGGAAATTTGTACGGAAAATTGTTGGAAAACTATCTGTAAAATTTAAAATTCTTGTCTTGTTTTTATGGTTTGTGCTTTAAGGTTATCATATAAATATGCTAAAACACAAACAAATATTTTTCTTGTGTTTGAAAAAAAAATCTAAAACCTTAACAATTTGCAAATGTCGATATTCCAGGTTTTCCAAATCGAAAATTCTACTTTATTACTGCATTTTACTTTTTTTGCTTTCTTTCAAATGTTGGTGTTTCATTTTTCGATTTTTCAATGTTTCATTGTTCAATTCTATGATTTTGCAATTTTTCAATTTTTCATTTAACTGAATTTTCAATTTCTAGACATTTTAATTTTTCGATTTTAAAATTTTCTCATTTTTGATTTTTCAATTTCTCGCTTCTTAATTTTTTAATTTTACGATTTTTAATTTTTAAACGGTACAATTTTTGTTTTTTTTTTATGTTCGATTTTTTAAATTTCTAGGTAGATTATTTTTTCAATTTTTTATTTTACCCTTTTTTTCCATTATTCGATTTTTCAGTATTACAATTTTGCAATTTTTTTATATCTCCGTCATGTTTCAATTCTTGAATTTTGGAAATTTAGATTTTTCAATTGATAATTTTTCAGTTTCATAATTTTTGATTGAATTTATCAAATTTACAATTTTTCCATTCATGATTTTTTAATAGTCCAAAAATTTTCAGATTTTGACTTTTCAATTTCTTAATCCCTCGATTTTTGAATTTATAAATTTGTAATTCTTCAGTTCCTGGAAATGAAATTTTAATTTTTCGATTTTACATTTTCTGTTTTTGATTCTTTGGTACCTGAATTTTTTCGAGTTTTTTAATTTTTTGATTTTTGAGTTTTCAATAGTCAATTTTTCAATTTCTCGGTTTTTTAATTTTTTCGATTATTCAATTCTTAAATTTTTTGATTTTCAAATTTTCGATTTTGAGGGAAAAAGCAAACTGTAAGCTTACGGATTTTAGGATTTTGGTATTTTGAGGATTTGGGAATTTTGGTGTTTTAAGAATATGAGGATTTTGGTGTTTTGAAGATTTGAGGATTTTAATGTTTTGAGGATTTCAGGATTTTAGTGTTTTGAGGATTTGGGAATTTTGGTGTTTTAAGAATATAAGTATTTTGGTGTTTTGAGGATTTGAGGATTTCGATGTTTTGAAAATTTGAGGATTTCAGTGTTTTGAGCATTTGGGGATTTTGGTGTTTTAAGAATTTGAGAATTTTGGTGTTTTAAAAATTTGGGGATTTTGGTGTTTTAAGGATACGAGAATTTTGGTTTTTTGAAGATTTCAGGATTTTAGTGTTTTTAAAATTTGTAGATTTTGGTGTTTTGGGGATTTGAGGAGAATAGTGTTTTAAAGTTTTAAGGAGTTGAGAATTTTTATGTTTTGAAAATTTGGGAAGTTTGGTATTTTGAAAATTTAAGGATTTCAGGATTTTAGTCTTTTGGGGATTTGGGGATTTTGGTGTTTTGAGGATTTTGCGGTTTTAGTGTTTTCAAGATTTGAGGATTTCGGTGTTATGAGGATTTCAGGATTTTACTGTTTTGGGGATTTGAGAATTTTAGTGTTTTGAGGATATGAGGATTTTGCGGTTTTGATGTTTAGAGGATTTGAGGATTTCGGGATTCTTGGTGTTTTGAGGATTTCTGGATTCTAGTGTTTTAAGAATTTGGGGATTTTGGTGTTTTGAGGATTTGAGGATTTTGCAGTTTTGTTGTTTGGAGGATTTTAGGATTTTGTTTGTTGAGGATTTTGGAATTTTTGTGTTTTGAGGATTTGAGGATTTTGGTGTTCTAAGGATTTCGGGATTTTTGGTGTTTTGAGGATTTCTGGATTTTTAGTGTTTTGAGAATTTGGGAATTTTGGTGTTTTGAGGATTTGAGATTTTTTTAGTTTTGTTGTTTTGAGGATTTCGGGATTCTAGTGTTTTGAGGATTTGGGGATTTTGTTGTTTTGAGGATTTTAGGATTTTGGTATATTGAGGTTTTGGGAATTTTGGTGTTTTAAGGATATGAGGATTTTGGTGTTTTGAGGATCATTGTATTTTAAGGAAATAAGAATTTTGATATTTTGCAGAATTTGGAAATTTTGTTTTTTTGAGGATTTGAGGATTTTGCACCTTTGGTGTTTTGAGGATTAGAGGATTTCGGGATTCTTGGTGTTTTGAGGATTTCTAGATTCTTGTGTTTTGAGAATTTGGGGATTTTGGTGTTTTGAAGATTTGAGGTTTTTGCAGTTTTGTTGTTTTAAGGATTTTAAGCTTTGGGAATTTTGGTATTTTGAGTATTTCGGGATTCTAGTATTTTGAGGAGTTGGGGATTTTAATGTTTTGAGGATTTTAGAATTTTGGTATATTGAGGATCTGGGAATTTTGGTGTTTTAAGCATATGAGGATTTTGGTGTTTTGAGGATTTAAGGATTTTGCGGTTTTGGTGTTTTGAGGATTTGAGGATATCGGGATTCTTGGTGTTTTGAAGATTTCTGAATTCTAGTGTTTTAAGAATTTGGGGATTTTGGTGTTTTGAGGATTTGAGGATTTTGCAGTTTTGTTGTTTGGAGTATTTTAGGATTTTGGTTTGTTGAGGATTTTGGAATTTTGGTGTTTTGAGGATTTGGGGATTTTGGTGTTTTAAGGATTTCGGGATTTTTGGTGTTTTGAGGATTTCTGGATTCTAGGGTTTTGAGAATTTGGGAATTTTGGTATTTTGAGGATTTGAGATTTTTGCAGTTTTGTTGTTTTGAGGATTTCGGAATTCTAGTGTTTTGAGGATTTGGGGATTTTGTTGTTTTGAGGATTTGGGGATTTTGTTGTTTTGGGGATTTTAGGATTTTGGTATATTCAGGATTTGGGAATTTTGGTGTTTTCAGGATTTGAGGATTTTGTGGTTTTGTTGTTTTGAGGATTTTAGGATTTTGATGTTTGGTGAATTTCAGGATTTTTGTGTTTTGAGGATTTGGGGATTTTTGTGTTTCGAGGATTTGAGGATTTTGTGGTTTTGGTGTTTTGAGGATTTGAGGATTTTCGTGTTGTGAGTATTTCGGTATTCTAGTGTTTTGAGGATTTGGGGATTTTGGTTTTGTGAGGATATGAGGATTTGAGGATTTTGGTGCTTTGAGGTTTTTGGTGTTTAAAAATTTTATAATTGTGTTTTTTTGAGGACCTGGGAATTTTGATGTTTAAAGGATATAAGGATTTTAGTGTTTTGAGGATTTGGTGTTTCGAGGATTTCAGGATTTTAGTGTTTTTAGAATTTGGAAATTTTCGTGTTTTGGGGATTTGAGGATTTTAGTGTTTTAAGGAGTTGAGAATTTTGATGTTTTGAGAATTTGAGGATTTCAGGATTTTAGTGTTTTTTGGGGAATTGGGGATTTGGGGATTTTGGTGTTTTGAGGATTTAAGTATATTACTGTATTAAGACTGAGGATTTTGGTGTTTTGAAGTTTTCCGGACTTTTGGTGTTTTGAGGTATTGAGGATTTCGATGTTTTGAG